AAAACAACAGAAAAGCCCTAGCTGAGCACACACATCTTATTTTTTATGATGGTTTTTAATCTTAGTTTGCCAGCAAACACAGGCTTTCTCACCTAGCCATGTAAAAATAATCCTGTTGTTAATTGTGTCTCTGATTGCTGGCCTGTTGTAAAGCCAGAGTAAAACAATCTGACACTGACAGAGTAAAACAATCAGCAATGGCTAATGGTTAAAGCACGTTAGAAGTGTTCATTAATTAACATCTGTTGAATCTCTGTGCAGTCTCTATTTATGGTGGGTAAATCCATATTTAAGAGTCATTAGCATTGCAAAAGTGTACCTGAGGAAAAAAACATGCAAAGTTTTTTAACAGAACAACTGAAAATTTGCCTCATCTCTCAAGAAAAAAAGAATTTGGTTTACATAAGGCAACATTAGGTACATAAAGCAAAAAGAAACAGTGATTATGTTGTTGGGCCAGATTATATAAAACTGCAATATTATTGTAATTAGGACAACAGTGACTTGGACTACAATAGTGGCTTTCTTATAAAAATGGCACCATTTCAAATTTATAGTCTCTGGCTAAATGAGTTTGTTGTAGCATTGACAAAGCAACAAACACAAGCCAAATGCAGTCAGAATTAAACACAAACAGAAACCTTAGCAGTTTATTTGCTGAGCAGAACCCAGAATGTTGTTTTTCCAAGAGCATTTACTTAATAAATGCCCTTCCCTGCATTCTTACAGCTTTTTCAATGCGAAATTTTTATTTTTAAAACTTTAAGGGCATTATTCTTGTAAAAAATATTTATGTACGGGTAGTTTATAACTGCAGTGTCAGTAATGGAGTAAAATCCTGCTTAAATATTGGCAATCCAAAGCTTGGAGAGTTCTGGTGTTGAGGTTGGCTGAAAAACACCAATGGTGACTGAGAGTTCCTTTTTTTCTGCATTGCTTTTCACCATCAGGAATCTCTCAGCTCTCCAAACCTTATTTTTGCCCAGGTTCTGTCACCTGTGGGAGTGGGATTGGTGAACCCTGAGCACATTGCAGGGGAACCAGGGCAGCACTGACTTAGCAACATCACCTGCAGCTGCAGAGGGCTCGGGGTTTGCTCCTAAATATACCGATTATTGCCAGTGTGAGCAACATAATGTGGTGTGTTTCACACCTGCAGAAAATTTGACTCAAGGCATAAAGAAAAAAAAAATCAAATTAAAGGTGATAAAATTTAAACTATGCCAAAGCTTAGCTAATTTCACAGTGGAAGCAATTTCTTTAATTCCTGTTGCATGATCGCTCACATCATCCCTAAACAATTTTCATCAGTGAGATGGTTGGGAGCAAATGACTGGATTTGACAGGCCTCAGAAGTGTGTGATGGTTGGGAATGAAGTGCTGAGAGGCAGAAACTGGCTGGGGAAGATATGGATTTCTAGGAGGCAGGGAATATTTCAGTTGTCCATTCCCTTCATTAATTTTAGTAGGTGAGATTATAATCACACTTCAAGTGACCTGTAATGGAAAGAAAAAGAAGATTATGCCTTTCCCCCTGCCTTATGTGTACTGTAACTGGAAATATTGACACACATATAACCCATGTATTTTTAATACATTTATAAACTTCAGTTGAACTTGGGATCTCAATAAGTGATTGAATTATTTTATATCACAAGAATGGTAGCTTAGCATCAGGATTGGAAGCAATGTTAGACACTGATTAACTCTTTTTATTAGGGTGTATTCAACTTTAGTATCTAATGAGCACTTGGTGCTTATCAAAGAATCAGCACATCCATTCAAGTCTGGGAATCTTGAAATAAATATCTATAGAAAGTCTTCAGGAATTCTCAAGTGAAGTAAGATAAGAATAGAAATTATATATTGAATCTTTCTAAACAAGCAATGTAATTATTTCTGAAGGCCTTTGAAATGAGAGCCAGCTAGGAAAATCAAACACAATCTCCAAGAAGTCAACAGTTTTATTTCTTTATTTTCCTTTGTATATAAAATATATAATGGAAACAAAATGAAACAGTCTTGATAAAATACTCCAACTAAAATTTTCACTTTGTGATGAGCCTTATCTTCTTCCAGCCCTGTCCCATTCTATGATGTTCTGCACAAACCTCTTCTGTCTTAGGAGATTACAAACCACCAGTTCTAAGATAGCAGCCACAGAAATGAGCACATCACTGCTACATCAGCCTGAATGCAGCTGGAGGAAGCTCTGAGGCTGCATTCATGGCTGGTGCCACCCTGGGACAGCAGCTCTGGGCTGCAGGGAGCGTGGGGATATGCTGGGATGGGCTGGGATGTGCCGGGATGGGCTGGGATGAACTGGGATGTGCAGGTCCGTGGGTCTCAGCTCCAGAGAGTCCAGGGAGATCAGCTGGGCTGAGGGATGGTTGTGTGTGGGAACAGCAGAAAGAGCCCTGCTAATGGGTGTGAGTACAAAAAGTGGACCAACAGAATTTCAGGGGGGAAATGATGCCTCAGGTTTGGCTTTTCTATTTTGTCAGACTCTGCGCTGCTTTAGTGTGTGGGTCTGGGTTTCACATGAGGGGATGGTGAGCTCTCTGCACAGAGCAGGGAGACAAAACAATTCCTGCTCCAGCTGGGCACCAAGGACAAATGACCCAAATCTCAGCCCAGGAGCACAAACACCGTGGGCTGGAGAGAGAAAAACAAGCAGGATGGGACTGCCTGGGCTAAAGCTGGAATGGGACAATGAACTCCAATGTGCAAATGGAGCAGAACTGATCACAGTGAGAGACCCCGTGCCCAGCCGTGTATTTTGGAACCATTTTCGTTCATCTTGGGTGTAGCCCTGGCTGGGCTCTTGTGCTGCCCAAGGTGGATCCATTGAGGCCTTTTAATAAATCCCTGCTTTATTCTTTAACTCCATCTAGTTTCTGTCCTAGATCAGCCTTCACAAGGCATCAAACATGTGAGACAATCCCACCAGCTACAGCTCCTCAAGCCTTGTAACTCCTGTGGCCTTTTGTCCCTCTCTTCCTGACACATCCCCACTTTGCTTCCTGCAAACTCCCTCATTGCTGTTCCCTGTTTCCTTTTTTGGGCCTCTGAGTGCCCAGGGCTGCTTCCCCTTCCTCTCTCCATTGAAGGAGAACACTGAGGGTATCTCCTGTAGGCTGAGGCTGCTGGACTTGCCACACGGCTGGGCACCACAAGTGTCACCTGTCCCCTTTATCATTTCCACTCACAGCTGTCAGGAGTTGTCTGTTGCTGCCTGAGCAGACAATAAATTTCTGATGTTAATTTCTCACAAACTAACCACCAAGCTGAGGATAAACTCCATTCCTCAGGCCCCATGACACGTTAAAAACTATTCTGTTAAAGGTTAGGTGTAAGATCACCTTTTAGCATCAAATACAGTTAAGCTTCAAACATGAACAGTTTGCAAATTTATAAAACAGGTTCAGCAAGCATGTGTGAAAGAGAGATGTGACATAATATTCCTTTTCCATGGGATGTGCACAGCTGCAGGACTCCTCTGGCCCCTGCTGAGCCCAGGACAGATGTTGGGGGAACACTTATCCTCTGCCTCCCTTTGCTGATGTTCTCCCCTGTAAGAATGGGTAAACATACACAAAAAATAAATGACCAATAGCAGCCACAGCCATTTTTTTCTCTAGTGAGATGTATTTCTGCCACCCACATTCCCTTCACTGAGAATTATCCCATTAGTTCCATGTGGCAAACCTGCCACAGCTGCAGTCCCTGCAGAATTTGTGCTCCCTGGAGAGCTGCTCTCCATCCTCCCAAATCCTGCCCTCCCAAACCAGTCCCACAGCCTGCCCTGGTGTTGAGTGCTCAGGTGGGAAAGAGTGGAATGGCAGCTCTTGGGACATATGCAAATTGTAACTGGGTATGCAAACATTTCTCTAAATAATTTAGATGTGCTGTAACCCACAGAGCTGCCATGCAGGGAGAGGGAAAGGGAGCGCAGGGCAAGGAGCAAGGCTGTGCCAAAGGGATCTCCTTCTCCTTCCCTCTGCTCTGCTGTCCTGGAGGGCCACGGGATCAGGATTCACAGCACACACACAGAAGGAATAGGAGGCTATTTTTATTAGCATATCCAGAAAGGGTGATTTTTTTTGGTGGATGCTGTAATTATTCTCCTTTCTGAACATAATTCAGCCCTTAACCTTTCTCCTTCTCTTGCTTTCTCTCCCTCTGTAGATATTGTCTTTATTGTCAGCCTAATTAACGCCATCATACTTTAATGTCAGCCAAAAAAACCCTCTCTGCAGCAACCTTAATGCAACCAACCAAATTTCATTCCATTTTGCTTCTTACAGAAATGGCAAGTGCTATGTTGTCTAAGAAATAAAAAGGGTAATTTCCTTTTTTTTTTTTTTCTCTATTTATTTTTGTCAGAGTATGGAATTTATAACTCTGGCTGAACAATGGCCCCCTGAGTGGCAGAGACTCATTTCAGAGACAATCATTGTTGTCCCAACTCTGTCACTGTGGCCACATCAAATCATTATCATGGCTGCAAGCCAAGGGAAGAAAAAAGAACCCTTTTTATTATTGTTTTTCTATCTGGTCTCTGTAACTTGGCAAAGTTCTTTCGAATGTGAATTTGCAAGTCTTAAATGCAACATATTATGCTGTATTATATTATACTGTATTATTAACCTTGTGTTTTGTATCCCTTTGATATGATTCCTTTGCAAATGCTTGAAGTCTACAAAGATCTATTGGGTAGCTTTAAATGCATTCTACAAAGAAACTTTAAATAATACAGATACTAAAAGGGCTTTTATTCTGCCCAGAAATTCGGGCTGCTGGCACACATCAGCTTGAAGGAAAATGTTTTGTTTCTGTTCCACAAGTAATATTTTAACTTGTTACTGATATTTTTCCTTCTTTTATTATTGTTACACAGCTCCCAAGGAAATGAATTTTTGTTTCAAATTAGTTTTTGAATAAGATATGCAAATTTCTAGTGAGTGTAAACATTAATTGTGTCTATTCTTTCTATTTAGGCACCTTTGTTACTAAAGTAACAGCTACAGATGCAGATGATCCAGTGTATGGAAACAGTGCCAAGCTGGTTTATAGCATTCTGGAAGGACAGCCTTACTTTTCTATTGAGCCCCATACAGGTAGGTGACTCCTGGCTTAGCAAACCACCTCAGCCTGCTCCAGGGGACACTTAGGTTGGGAATTGGGGAACATTTCTTCATGGGAAGGGTTGTGTAGTGCTGGCACAGCTGCCCAGGCAGGGTGGGAAGTGCCCATCCTGGAGGGATTTAAAGCTGTGTGGGTTTGGCACCTGGGGCCATGGACAAGGTGGGCTTGGTATCGCCAGCCAGGGGTATATGTATAAATCACAAATGGGATGGGGCTGCTGTGGATGTGCCTTGAGCTGTTTGATTTTCCAGCACCACTCTCATTACTTGGTTATGACAATGGGACGATGCCAGCAGCTCACATGCCAGGCAGCAGACCAAGAACTTAATGTTACAATTCACTTTAAATGTTTTTGACCAATCACACAAAGCAAAAGCACATTGACAGTAGTTCCATCCAACCACTATAAGCACACATCCCTTTGGTTAAACAATGCTTGCTTATTTCATATACAATACCTACTTGTAAGCCTTAAAACACAATGCACAGAGCTCCATTATTAAGGTTCAAGCTTCCTAATATCTCACTAGATAAACTTTTCTGTAGCTTGGGGAGTTATTCTAGATAAGCATTAATACACAAACCATTGTTCTATTTGTCCTTGCTTTTCTACTTTTTAAATTATTTTCCTGCTGACCTATCTCATGGCTACTGCTTAGCTCTAATCACAGTTCTGCTGTCTCTAAGGCCTCTATGTCACAGATTTCCCCAAACCCTCTAATTTTGTGGATTCCCACACTTGGCACTGTTGGGGAGTGCTTGGGATCGATGCTGCAACTGAAGCATCCAACCTGGAGTAATACTCTGGTTGTATTTGCAGAGGGGACCATCCCCTGCCTCCTGATCAGGAATGGTGTGGCCAGCAGGAGCAGGGAGATCATCCTTCCCTGTGCTCAACACTGCTGAGGGCACACCTCCAGTGCTGTGTCCAGTCTGGGCCCTCAGTTTGGGAAGGACCTTGGGATGTTTGAACATGTCCAGAGGGGGCAACGAAGATCGAGAGGGGTTGGAACACAAACCCTGTGAGGAACCCCTGAGGGAGCTGGGGGTGCTCAGCATGGAGAAAAGGAGACTCAGGGGTGCCCCCATCACTCTGCACAGTTCCTGAAAGGTGCCTGTGCTCAGCTGGGCCTGGGCTCTGTCTCCAGCAGCACTGACACAACCAGAGCGCACAGCATCAAGCTGCACCAAGGGAAAAACAGGTTGGATGTTAGGAACAAGTTTTTCACAGAAAGAGTGATGAAGTTCTGGAATGGCTGCCCAAGGAGGTGGTGCAGTCCCCATCCCTGGGTGTGTTTAACAAAGCCTGGATGTGGCACTGGGTGCCAGGGTTGAGTTGAGGTGTTGGGGCTGGGTTGGACTCAATGATCTTGAAGGTCTCTTCCAACCTGGTCATTCTGTGAATCTCCTCACCCAGGTGTAACTCAGGTTTCACTTGTGTTCCTCAGAGTCTGATCTCAGGGAAAACCAGAGGGAAACCAGGGGTTAATGGTGATGGGGATGGTGATGGCAATGTCACAGAGGTCACTGGAGCATCGAAGGCAGAGGAGGAGCTGTGTGACAAAACTGCTCAGGGAATGCAGGGCTTGGCCTGAGGGGTTTGAGGAGCATAATGTGATGTTCAACATGAGTCTACAGCATGCAGTTGAGCTTGGGAATTTCAGTGAATATATTTTATGCTTTCATTGAAAATTCTTTTTCTTTCTTGATTTGTTGGATCAATTTGGGGAGAGAAAGAGCATCAATCATGAGTGCTGGTGTGAAGTTTTATTAGCATGCATTTAGAGTGACTTTATTTCTCTGTGGTTTTGTAGTCTTGAAAGTCATCTGAAAGAAGTGCCAATAAATCCATTCCCTCTTGTTTTCTGTGCATAGGTTGTCCAAACAGCAAATTAATTTAGTTATGTCTAAAAAGCAAGTTTTAAGGTGATTTGATCATATTTCTAATATTCTGTCAGCTGTTACTAGAAATACTTTTTAATCATAGTGAGTGAAGCAGCTGTGATCTCCTAAGGAGAAGAAAAATAAAAGTCTTTAAAAACATATCCACCTGAATTTATACAGCTGTAAAGCAGTAAAACAGGAGTACAAATTCTTATCCTTTTGCAGAGTAACAAAACTATAAAATAAAGGCTCAGAGGAATTATTAAAAGATGATTTTGATAGATTAAGTGAATTAAGTTTTTTCATCAACATTAAACACAGTGCTCCTGTAATCTTTAAAAGCTGGAATTTCTTGAAATATTTCTGATGAAATTGCATGGAAAAATTATTTTCCATTCCTAGAAATGCCCTAACTTTATGTGACTTTATGGAAATAGTGTGCATCAATAAATATTAATGGATTAGTCCAAAGCAGGTTTTCCTGGTTGAAGGACAGCTATCCTAAATGTGAAAGGGATCTCTGGAATGTGATTCACCCTTTTATTTTTACACTGCATGTAAAATAGAATTTTACAGAGAAATATTCTAGCACAGTACAATGGAAAAAGAGCAGCTTGTTCCAAAAATAAGTGTGTTAAGAGAGTGTTTATTAGTGAAGGCCCTCAGTTCCTGTGGCTCATTTGTCACAATCAAATGGAAATGTAACTCTGAACAGACCTCTGACCCTCAAATATCTAAATATACTGTTGGGTTTCTTAAATATTACAAAGTATTGCATGCAGTAATGACTTGTGTGAGATGTATTAATTAGTGGGGAATTGACTGTAGGGTTTTTCTCAGTTTCTACTTGGGAAAGTTAGTGCCTTAGCATGGGAACACTTCAGCTTTCCTAAAGGAGCTGAAAAGTGCATTCTCCACCTACACAGAAGATTTTCTTTCACAGAAAAATGGCTGAAAGAAATACTCCAAATGTTAAAAAATACTTCAATTTCCTTAGTTTTCTTATTTGTATTGCATTAATCCCTAATGCTCAATCCAAAGAAATAACTATTCCTAGGAAAGTGATTCCTGTTACCTGGAAAGCCAGAGAGAGCTCCAAAGCTTTTGGTTAACCTGAAAATCAGGGTTTTCCTCCTGTTTCCCGGGCATTAATCCCCCCCTCCTCCCTTAATTTCCAGCTACAAATATTCCTTTGCAGAGCAGCTCAGTTACCATGAAAATGACATGTTGGTGTCCAAGGAGAACTCAAAAAATTCAACTGTGGCCACAGCCCCTAAGTGGCTTCATCTCATGGAGCTGCTTCTGAGGGATTAAATGATTTGAGATTCCCCATTTTTCTAGATCTGTGGAGGATCTCAATTATGTTCCTTAATTCACTGCAACTGGCTGAGTTTCAGTGCTGAGGCTGTTCCCTGTTCTTTGCCCTTCATCTGTAGTGGAATGGTTTGTTTAGGATATATAAAATATATAAAATATAAATCTACAAGAAATTTTAATCATCAATCAAACCAGATGCAGGTAGTTGTGTAGAAACTGCAGCCACATCTACACGCAGAAAAAGAATTGTTCTAAACCAAAATGACAAAGCAAATATGAAGCGTGCAGATGTTTGTTTCTTTCTATTTGTCCAAAGTTTGCAATGTGAACCATCACAACTCTCAGTAGCTAAGCCAGGAAAATATATTCTCTTGAGGGAAAACCCATTCTCTTGATGAAAACACATTATCTTGTAGTCCTTAGGACCCTCAGGACAGGTTTTGGTGTGGGAAGGTGTTTGGATACTCTTGTGACAGTGTACAAATTAAAGCAGAGCGGGTATATATATATATATGTATCACCCCAGGTATATATATGTATATATATATGCATATATATATATATATATATATATATATATATATATATATATATCACCCCAAACAAATCAAACCTGAGGATGATCCTCTAAGAGTGGTACATATTTTAGGGTTTAAGTGTTGTTTGGGATTTTTTTGGGGTGTGAGAGGGAATGTGGATGTGCGTACAGCTGCATTTTCTCTGTGGTTACACTTCATTAGTGCCCTGATAAGTTGAAAGCCTTTTCAGTTAATTTGAAGCAGAATTGTTTCTGAACACAGATATTGTGTCTTCCCCTAAATGGAATCAGCATTGCAAGAAATGGGCTGTGTGAGAGTGGTCCACTTGAGAATGTAAATATTTTCTGTCATTCATAGGAGTGTATCAAGTGTTATCAAAAGAATAGCTATTGAGAGCTGATCTGTTTACAGTTTTTCCAGATTACTGCCCTTTTATCATGTTTCTTAGAAACCAAGAGTAAATGCAGATCTGTGCAGCTCCCAACACCAGGGCAGTGCTGTCTGTAATTTCTGATTTTCCTGGCTCAGAGTAAGGATCGTTTGACCTTCCTACTTGGTTTTAATGGCACATGGAGAGTGAACAATGAGGAATGATCCCAACCATGCCTCCTGATTCCTCTGCCTCTATTAACAACCCTCAGAGCAAAAAGAGAGAGCAGAGGGGCAGGGTGTGGCTCTGTGCCTGTGCTAAGCAGGGATTGTCACACCTGATGGGAGGGAAGCAGGTGTTTGCCATCCTGCATTTTGGCTCCTGGATGTGCCCATATCTGAACCACTCTCAGCTAAAACTCACATTACTCAGCCTCCTCCTCACTGAAACAATTCTATAATGCTGGGCACAAAGAAACAAGTGCTGGTGAGTGACCCATAAAACAATAATTTTCCATTACCTGAGATGAAAAATGCATATATTGTTGCAGTTCTAGTTTGCACGTTCTTCTGTAAGAGTTATAGGCACATGAAAGGAGGTAATTTGGAAGTTATTTTACACTGAGTGCTCTGAATGTGGCTTAGGGTAAGTGCTTTGTTGATGGCTTGTTTTGAATATTTTTCATTTTTTGTAGGTGAATTTTATTATGACCACTGCTTTGTTGGATAGAGATTGGATATAATTAATACACGAAAAAGATACAGGTTTAGAATTTTTTTCTGTGAGCACCAAAACTTGCAATGTGATGGCATCAGATTAGTAACAAAACTCATGGTGGGCTGGAATATATTCCTTATATCAT